CTGCCTGCTTCAAACGCTCCACCATCATCCCCATCCCAAAGAAACCTAAGATAACAGGACTTAATGACTACAGACCTGTGGCCCTAACGTCTGTGGTCATGAAGACATTTGAGAGGTTGGTGTTGGCTTATCTGAAGGACATTACTGGACCCTTACTAGACCCCCTGCAGTTTGCTTACCGAGCAAACAGGTCCGTGGATGATGCAGTCAATATGGGACTGCACTTCATCCTGCAACATCTGGACAAAACAGGGACTTATGTGAGGATCCTGTTTGTGGACTTTAGCTCTGCTTTCAACACCATCATCCCAACACTCCTCCAGACCAAACTAACCCAGCTCTCTGTCCCTAGCTCTATCTGTCAATGGATCACCAGCTTTCTGACAGATAGGCAACAGCTAGTGAGAATTGGTAAATTCACATCCAACAACCGCACCACCAGCACTGGCACCCCTCAGGGTTGCGTCCTCTCCCCACTGCTCTTCTCCCTCTACACCAATGACTGCACCTCTAAAGACCCCTCTGTCAAGCTCCTGAAGTATGCAGATGACACTACAGTCATCGGTCTCATCAAGGATGGAGACGAGTCTGCTTACAGACAGGAGGTTAAAGAGCTGGCTGTCTGGTGCAGTCTTAACAACTTGGAGCTGAACACCCTCAAAACAGTGGAGATGATCGTGGACTTCAGGAGGAACCCCCCTGCACTCCCCCCACTCACCATCATGGATAGCACTGTAACGACAGTGGAGTCATTCAGGTTCCTGGGCACCACCATCTCTCAGGACCTGAAGTGGGACACTCACATTGACTCCATTGTTAAAAAGGCCCAGCAGAGGTTGTACTTCCTTCGCCAGCTGAGGAAATTCAACCTGCCACAGGAGCTGCTGAAACAGTTCTACTCAGCCGTCATCGAGTCTGTTCTGTGCACTTCAATAACTGTCTGGTTTGGTTCAGCTACAAAATCAGACATCAGAAGACTACAGAGAACGGTTCGGACTGCTGAAAGGATTATTGGTGCCCCCCTGCCTACCCTCCAAGAACTGTATACATCCAGAGTGAGGAAAAGGGCTCAGAAAATCACTCTGGATCCATCACATCCAAGCCATCTCCTTTTTGAACTTTTGCCATCTGGTCGGCGTTACAGAGCACCGAATACCAGGACAGCCAGGCACAAGAACAGTTTCTTTCCCCAGGCAATCTACCTCATGAACAGTTAATGTTCTCCCATTGTGCAATTAAAGTACATTCAACTAATGACTTTTTACAGTGAAGTATAAATAGCATTTTATCATTGTGTAAATGGAATCTATAGCTAGCCTATTTGCACTTGGTGTAAATAGCATATCGCTAAGAAAATACTGCTATTTTCAATTAGTGTAAATAGAATCTATCGCTAAGAAAATATAGTAGGTGTTTTTTTCCCATAATATTTGGGGGAGGGGGCACAGCAATACAATTCTGCTTAGGCCACCCATTTGGCCAGCAGCGGCCCTGGTCATGAGATACCTTCATCTGATAAATTTTTGAAGGCAGCATAGATATCCTTCGCTGCTTTTGATATCCCACAATCCTGTGCGTTCCATTCCGTGATGGTTGAAATAAAAAATAAAGATGGCGTCTGAACGTAGCGTTTGGTGGTCAGTTTGTGTGTAAATGTATATTTCTCACTAACATAACTTAAAGCTGCAGTTCGTAAGTTTTGCCTCTTTGTCGCCATCTCTGTTTTAAAACCTGCAATTGCAGCAGTTTGCGGAATTATCTTCATTGTGTGGGTTGTGTGGCAGCTCGGCTCCAGCACGGATGAATCTAATGTTTTGAAGAGTATGTGTGGCAGTCAGTCACCGCACCGGTGTGGATATTTACTGTACTTCAGAATCACAGATTCTAGTCTACGTCTTGGAATATATGACCCAAATAAGAATTTTCACCGGATATTGTCATCTGAACAAGTAAGTAACAAGTCTACCACATTTGTTCTGACCAACTGAGGGAAAAAAACATTAATAAATCACGCTACCAATGGTGATTTAATCTAAATTAGCTCATATCCCATCAAACCGTGCAAATTATTATTATTGATATATTTTATTCTCAAATGATTAATGTTAACAACATCAGCATTGGTGACTATGAGTATAGTGTGTATTAGCGTGTAGATTTAAATTTCTGCACAGTCTAATCTAATTGTCATACTCTTCGAATTTCATATTAAGAAATTATTTTAACCCAAAAAGCAAATTATGCTCCTTTCGAACTGGATGTCTTTAAAATACAAATCTTGTGTAATCCCAGGCTATCCGTAATTTAGAAGCACATTTAAAACTGGAATATAATTTAATTTCATTCACATGTGTTTCATAAAAACATAATCCTTTCTGCATTACAATCCTCCATCAAAATGATACATTTAATTATTCTGGCTGCTGTGAGAAAAGGCTATAAACGATCGGCCACCTGCAGGACCCTCACATGCGATAGCCTAATAGCCGGGACAACTTCTTTATATTTACAGACGTGACGTAATGATGCAGCAGCATGCTCGAATTTCCTGCAAAAACCTACCCGTACCACTCAAATTAGAAAACATTATTATAAGCTAACCGTTGTGAATCTGGCTAAAGTAAGGCGATAGTTTTGAACACTGGCTGGTTATGTACTTGCTCAAATATTGATTTCGGATCATTTTTAACCAACAAAAAGTTACGGACTGCAGCTTTAACAAATTACATATTTGTAAAGTTATCACCAAAACTTGTTCAATTTTGTTGTTCATCATTAAACTGTTACGCTGCCTCAGAAAGCCTGTTTCATGAGGTGCCTTCATGCAAAAACGCTGCCTGCAAAGTCGTTGCCTGGTGTATGGCAAGCCATTTTAGCATTAAATACTCCTAGCTGTACTAGTCATAATTTGTTTTTGACTAGTCAAAATTCCAATTCCAGATATCTATTCTGGAATTTTGACTAGTCAAAACTAAATTATGACTAGTACAGCTAGGAGTATTTAATGCTAAAACGGCTTGCCATAAGCGCACACACACCTCTCTTTCTGCGTCTGCTCTGGCAAGCCTTTTTAGCATTTAAAAGTTTGTTCTGACTATCCACAAATATAATTTAAGATAGGAACAATTGTATTTTGACGAGTCATAATTATAATTTGACTAGTCACAATGACAATTAGAGATATCTGCAATTATAATTGCACTAGTAAGAAATCGTATTAGAGATATCTCTAAATACTTTGACTAGTCAAAACTCCATTTAAGATATCTGTAATGACATCATAGATATCTTCAATAGGGCGTCACACATACGCAAAGGTAATTAGAGATATCTCTAATTCAGTTTCGACTAGTCACAATTATATTTTAAGATATCTGAATTGTACATGCTCCAAGTCAAATGTGTTGTTGTGTGACGTGAACTAAATTAACTCGGCTCCTCCCAGAGCCCCTCCCCGACTAATGTTTAGTGCTAACTGCTAACAACAGTGGTCTGCTTTTCTTGTCACGGAGAGAAAAGCTACTGGATGAATTACTTCAGGGGTTATTAAATAATATCTGGATGCAGCCATATGTGGTAAAAGGTCTCCAGCGTGCATGTATGTATGTTTTTTTTCCCTTGCTAGGTTTGTTGTGTGAATAAAGATCCCTTTAACCAACTTTTGTATCTGGGTCCTACTTCAATAAGATGTATCCCCAAATATAATAATACTCACAAACAAATAAAAAGAGAATTTAACAAATAAAGATGAGTAATTTAATGAAATAGTCATTTGAAATGATAATGAAAATTAAAAAAATACCCAGATGCTCAAATTAGAGGAATTACGGAGTTACAATATACCTGAAACCACCCAACACACAGTATCACCCAACAACTGTTACACTTATGGCAGTGCACATGAAACAGTAAATGTTTGGCCCTTGCTAGGTTTGTTGTGTGAATAAAGATCCCTTTAACCTACTTTTGTATCTGGGTCCTACTTCAATAAGATGTATCCCCAAATATAATAATACTCACAAACAAATAAAAAGAGAATTTAACAAATAAAGATGAGTAATTTAATGAAATAGTCATTTGAAATGATAATGAAAATTAAAAAAATACCCAGATGCTCAAATTAGAGGAATTACGGAGTTACAATATACCTGAAACCACCCAACACACAGTATCACCCAACAACTGTTACACTTATGGCAGTGCACATGAAACAGTAAATGTTTGGTTAGTGTTAGAAAACACTCTCTGTCTGTATTGGTTCCAGATGTTTTCACCCTCCTTTTCTTCTCTCTCCCTCTCTGCTCGCCCTCCCTGTACAGAGCAATGTTGTCTTCTTCTTGATTCCCCCCTCCTCCATCTGATCTCTCTCTCTTGTATTATGTTTTAATATCTCTTACTCATATTCGAGGTACGCATGCGCACATGTATGCATTAGCTTTTCTGAGTTCAAATGTTCAAACGAGGACACGATAGCTAGGACTCCAAGATAATGGGGTTCGTACTGAGCTATGGATATAGTTCAGCATCCTTCGCCAAGTTTATTCCTAATATGTCCATATTTTCCTGTACATGTGGCCATTTTATATAACACATATTCTTGGCCAAAATCCTATATGTATGTCATCTATATCCTCATTGGTTAAAGGGTTGAAACTCCCCTCGACATATGCCTATATAATATCCTTGTATCTATGAATAAAGTTGAAGTATTGAGAATACAATTTGATGTGTGTTTTCTTGCTTCCCGGCCGTATACACTTTAAGGGACTGAGAATTTTCGAGGTGGCAAAGAGATTACAGAGGGACCGTTTGTTAATTACTGACAGTTAGTTTTAACTATGACAGAGTCCTTAAATGAGCAAATAACTCAAACTGAACTCTGCAGAAAATATACTCTAAGCAACCAGTGTATCAACAGAGTTAAACAGTAATATCAGTGGGCCCACATAATCACACACACACACAACATTACGTCCCTCGTCGCCGGAAGAACACCCAACGCTCCCGGTTGCTGGGTGCGCTATCCGGATGATGACCGTCGCTCTCTCCCTCGTAGTCAGAAGACTCGCTCGCCTTTCGGATTTCAAAAGCACTTTTCATGGTCTCCGATGTCCCACGAAGAAACGTCCCATGACAGAACACAAACGGCAGCGAATGTGTGAAACAATTTCAACAAGCACCTCAGCATATGCGATGAAATGTGTGAGCTGTCTCGGTTAAAGGCAGCAATCTCTTGAGTACTCAGAATAACTCAGAGAAACTCAATGTTAACCCATACTGTGAGCTAACTGTATCTCAGAAATCCAATAACGAATATTCTCAGTTTTAGACCAAATTAAACAAACTAAAATCACGCTCTCTCACATTTCGTCAGTTTTTCACTTGTGACAAACTTCTCACAACTCTCTTCTCCTCTGTCTCTCTCTCACCTCTTCATTACCCAATAGCGTTACATCATCTTCTTCTTTGAGGTTTAACGGCGGCTTGCATCCAAGTGCGTTGCATTACCGCCACCTTCTGGATTATTCTCCTGCAATGTTATTCCATTTTATTTCCTCCAGCTTGTTGTCCACAATCATATTTTCCTCATCAAACCCGTTCTACTTAAGAAATTACAAATATTTTTCCTGCTTTGTCTAATCACCCCACTTTGCAGTATATATTTAATACCTGTCCCTACCAACCCATCTCTTCTTAATTCAACCATCATATTTCTCCTCTGATCTTCATAACTTCTGCAACTTAAAAGAACATGTTCTATGGTTTCTAATGTCTGACAATATTCACAAAAAACAGTAGGATGCTTCCCTATAATGTGTAATGTACTATTTAAATTACTGTGTCCTATTCTTAATCTTGTCATCACTATTTCTTCTCTCTTAGTCCCTCCCCAATTCCTCTCTGTACCAACTTTATTTTGAATGGCATACAAATGTCTTCCTTTAGCTTCCCTGTCCCACTGCCGTTTTTAATTGCTTGTTTAGCTAATTTATCCACTCTCTCATTGCGCATATGAGCTGGGGTCCAAATCAGTCGAATCTCATTACATTTTCCTTTTACTCTCGTATATGTTGTTAATATAGCATATAACAGGTCCTGACGGCTATTGGACATACCTGTCCTGAGACTGTACAGTACTGACAATGAATCACTTCCAATTAAAACTTTACTAATTTTGTCCTCCTTTCTAATCCATTCTAATGCCATCATGATAGCATATAACTCAACTGTATACACGTTCAGATCATTCGTGGTTCGTTTGCTTTCGTGGTTTGTTTGCTTTCCTCACCTCCTTGATTAACTATAAAAATTGCTGATCCAGTCCTTCCTGTTTCAGGATCTTTCGACCCATCTGTATACATTTGAATATAGTCTCTGTAGTTATCATCCACATATCTGTAGTGTTCAGCTACAAGGTCTATACTATTGTTTATCGTTTTGATTTGATG